TCCGGAGGGAAACTGCTTTACACCAGTCACCCTGGGAAATGTTACACAGTCAGCCAGGTTTGTGGAGGGTGGCCTGTCCTTACCGCCAAAGTTATTTGGTTTTCTCCTTGTGTTCTGAGGTTGCACATAGGGCAGGAAATGTGTTTTTAGATTTGGCACTTTTCTCCATGCCAGCCTTTTGTCGAAAGTGCTGATACTCACAGCATTCCTGGCTTTAGCCCTTTGCTTTCCTTGGGTTGTCATGGTTACACAGAGCCCTCTAGCCACCACCCATTGGCTACTGCAAACTGCTTCCAAACATTTGGCACTCTCCTGACAGAGGTGTTGAAAAACCAGACACCTTTATGCTTATGCTTTATTAATCACAAACTTTTAGCTTACAATGTTCATTACACTTAAAAATGTAGGTTAGAGTACGACTCCTTTACCCCTCCCTTGTGTTCCATCTAGTTTTAGCCTTTCTCCTTTATAAGCCTTGTAAGCCATCTCATAAGAGATAATGGCCACAGGCAAATCTCCCTTTTACAGCTGCCAACTAATCAGAAGCTGACAAGTGTGTTTTGCATTTGCCCTTTATCGTTTACTCAAATAATGCATTGTGGCCCTACAAAGAAGCTTCTGTAACCTTTGTTTTTATTGCCTAAAGTTTGATGTTAACGTGTATTTAAGCTGGGTGAACAAAGAATGAGAGAAGAAAAGTGGAACAGGAGACTACCTTAAACGCCCTCCCCTGATTATGAGATTGATGACTGACTTATATGCCATCATCCAGCAGCTGATGGAAGTAGAAGCAAACACCCACACCTAATCACCGATATGAACTGTAACCCAGGTGCAGAGAAGGACCAGTGAAGAGCACAGAGGTCCAGACCAGGCTGGTGAAACCCACAGAAACAGCTGACCTGAACATCTGGCATCTCTTGCTCCCCAGTCTGATAGCTGAAATACCAGCATGGGACTGATCCAGACCCCAGGAACATGTGTTTCTGTGAGGAAACCTCAGAAATCTACGGGACCTCCTGTAGAAGCCCAGTATTTATCCCTAGCATAGGTGTGGACTTTGGGAGCCCATTCCACATAGAGGAATACTCCCTGAGCCAAGACACACGGGGGTGGGCCTAGGCCGTATCCCAAAGGATACGATAGACTCTGATGACACCCTATGGAAGGCCTCACCATCCAGGGGGGAGCAGAAAAGATATGTGACAGATAAGGTTTTAACGTTGGGGAGGATAGGGGAGGACGGGTGGGAGAAGGGAACTGGGATTGTCATGTAAAACAATCCTATTTCTAATTCAAATTTAAAAAGTTGGAAAAAATAAAATTAAGTGCAGAAAATAACAACAACAACAAAAAGAGAACAAAGTGCTTGATCCTCAGGTGGTTTTTGTGAGTCTTCTGCCCTCAGATACATAGGCTGTTTTTCTTATTCCCTGCTACTCTGACAGCATTCTTTCTACGACCCTGGGTGCAGCCCTGGGATGTGGTCTCAAGGGCTATGATATCCAGGTCCTCTGCCTATGAGATCCAGCAAAACTTCCAGCCTCTTAGAATGTAAGAGGCATTTTCATAATGATGCAATTGCACACTAAAGTGCACACAACGTGTAACATCACACTTTGCCTTTGGTTCCTGCTCCCTAGTGTATAAATACCTGCCTGGTACTCCTACCTGGGCCCTCAGCTTCTGACACCACAAGAGAGATGCCCGACTTTACACTTCTAACCTGCCCCTCTGTGATGCTCACTACTCAGTGAAATGTTTCCATTGCATATGGGAACAAGTACTTTTCAGTGGTGATGTCAAGTCCCTTGGCATACCTGTCACCTTTCCTTCTTGTGACATCATGCTGTAATCCTCTTAAGGGAGGAGCTCTGAAAACCTCCAGCCTCCATCTTGGGGGTTGCTGTCAATTTTGTAGCTATATGAGGGCTGTAGGTCCTGTCCATTGGCCACTGAGTTTTCACATAGCAGCAAGCATCATTGATGCATCCTACCTACACAGATGGGTTACTTTCTTTGGATCCCCAGTGTGCAGAAGTCAGGACTGTCTTAGGAAGGTGGTGAGTTCAGATTTCCAAATTGTTGTTCCTTTTTCAGGGAAGAGCTCTTTCACAGTAAGAATGAACATGGTGGGGAAAGATAAGTCTAAGAACTGAACCCAATATGACTTGACAGAGGTTGCATGTGAGAGACAGGATGGATTCCTACCTATTTGTGCTCTTTTCCAAGACAGTGACAATGTGTTTACTCCAAGTCAAGTGCGTTCCTGGTCACTAAAATAGTTCTTACAGTTTCTCAGTTTCATCTGCACTACTTTTGATTTAGTAATCTCAAACTTTTGTGCAGTGTGTCTGCTAAAACTCATAATTTTGTGAGTTATATGAGCAATTTGAGAGCTGTTTTCTATCCAATGCATAGTTCCAGCTCAAGTACTGCTTTCCAGTGGGGCTTTACCTGAGTGAAGATTATTGTTTTCTTTATTGGAAATGCCTGCGTGGGGTGGCATAGTGAGAATTTAATATCCTTCTTAGAGGGCTTCAAGTTTGGGGTTGTGAAAAGAGGACTGAGTTGTAAATGGATGTTTCAATATCCTAATTTCAAGTCCATGGGCATTTGACTGAATGAATGAACTCAACCTTATGTCATTCATGTCTAAGGTCTCTGCTATGTCAAAGGTACCCAGACTCAGAATTTCATGTCCCAAAGAGCTAGCTTTTTGTTTGTTTGGTTTTTGAGACAGGGTCTATTTATGTAGTCCTTGTAATCTTATAGCTTCTTATGCAGACCTAGCCAGACTCAACCTAATAGTAAACCTCCAGCTTCTCCTACTGGGGCTGTGATTTAGCTATGTGTCACTATTTCCATCCCAGATAATTGCATTTGAATTAAACAGATTTGTCCATTAGTATTGAGCTATGTGTTCAGTACCCATGGTATCATTGGTTGACAGCATACTGGTATCTTTTA